TTTGGGTCATGCAGAGGCTTACGCATGATCTTATAGGTATTCGGGTAGTGACCTGACCCAGCCTGACGATGAGATAGGTGCAACTTCGGCTTGAATAAGTGTTCAAGAGTCCAAGAATTCATCTATCTTTCCTTCTACGGCCGGTTCCGTTCCAATAGATCCTACCTTGATTCTGATCATTCTGAATATTCTGAGCTGGTTCGACGATTAAATACCAAAAGAAGGAAAAGAGGACATCAAAATGCCCTCGGAGCGGATAATTTTTTGGCTTTCGTCCCGAAGCAACTTCGCCAGCTTCACTTGTCTCCAGTATGTGGTCCCGCTGCGACATCTCCGCGGTGCTGACACCGACTGAAGGGGCATAGACCCATCGCGGTCACGGCCAGTGCAGTGGGCGGAGTCAAGTTGAGCACGGCGTAACGTGATTGACCAGCGCTCCTATCCAATCCGGTGCGGTAGCGAGCGAGCCTCTATCCGGGTGCAAAAACTAATTAACATTACGAGCCAACGACAAGTGCTCTAAATTTTGATATTTTGTTAAGAGACCATATTGACAAAAATTGGCGCTTGAGCTAAAACATCGTCTGCCAAAATTTCAAGCTAATTGGACAAAAATTGAAGAGATTATCGCCGAAAAACAGGGTCTCATGGGGTCTGAAATGCATAGTAGTTACTTATCAACGTATCAAATTCGTTAAAAACCGACGCTACATGCATTGACATGCACAGACAATTCAGGTCATGCACAGACATGAGACGCATCGAATGATATGCAACATGACCTTTTCCGGTCAGGTCATGACCTTGACCTGAGGTCAAATTTTCAAGTTGACCTTTCAAGGTCAAATTATAGTTCATTCGACGCGTCTCGTCGAGAGGAACACGATTCTGGTAATAGAAATGTTGCGGCTTTTTTTAGTCAAAAGTTATTGTCGAAAAACACATTTCGTAAAAACAGCTATTTTTGGAGTTTTTGCCCTCTGGAAATTAAACCGTTGACCTGAGGTCAATTTTGATTATGACCTTATCAAAAGAAGAGCTCAAAAGCTATCGATTGTTTTTTATGCGTTTTTCTAGCTATCATAGTTTCTGAGATAATTGCATGTTTTCTGAGAAATATAATGACATTTGGCAAATTTTGACCTTTGATGACCTCCAGTGACCCCAATATTGCTTTAAGATGAAAATGACCTGAATACTTTCAAACGTACGCATCGAGAGCTATCGATTGCTTTTTACCGCATCTTTCTAGCCCTCTTAGTTTTTGAGTTAGAGGTGGGTGGTAACATATGCCCCCCCCCCACTAGGGCGAAGTTGGCTGAGACCGCCACTGGGGCGCGGGTTAAGCACAGGGACAATTTTTTTTTTTGGCTTGGCAGTATACTTCAAAAGTTCAGGGAAAGTGAGAGAAAAAGGTCACACAATGACATACACGACATAGGTATGTAGACCTAATTATAGGTATAGCAAACCAAACATTGCTTGTTAACCTGCGACCGCCTGGGGGGGGGGGGGGTCGGATCCAACCCCCCTCCGTTTTTCATGAACCGCTTACGCTATCTACTTGAAACTTGGCATACCTTCTCCCCCAGCAATTTGACTTCTCCTGTGCAATTTTTAAGAAAATTTTTCCATTTTTTTATAGATATATCGATTTTAGTGATGTAACTAATAGTGATAAAAAACTAATAGTGATGTAACTAAATAATTTTTAGTCAAAAAGTGGTAAATGTTTAAAAAATCGCCAAAAATCGACGTTTTAAGCAAATTGCAAATTAAGGACAAGAATAGATGCAGCTCAACGAGTTCTTTAAAATGGTTATCTCGGATTTTCCATATAATGCGTTTTTTACCCCTAAAAATTCAAAAAACTATATTTTTTTGGAAAACAGCTAATAAAATCCAAAATTTTAGGAATTTCCAAAAAAAACGGAATATATGTTATAGAGCTCTATTAGAACATTAGATGTCCCAAATTTCAACTTCCTATCTTGATTTTTGACCCCCAAATTGTAAAAAATAGCTCCAACATGCATATGGCATGGTGACGTCATAAGCATTTTCGTGAATTAGAGGCACTACTGAACATCGCATGTGAAAACAAATGGCACCACTAGATTCCTGGGACAAAGCTCGTCTAGAAAAGGGCATTTTTATGTCAAAAATAAGAAGTTGAAAAATTGACTTTTTTTCTTAGCCCTCGTTTAGTTATGTATGGTATAAACGATTTTTTATGCTTTCAATGCACACTTATCACCAGCACAGTGACTTGGGGTCACATATTACCATTCGGATTCGGCGTGAAAAATAAGCCATAAAACATGTGTCGCACGCCCATGTAGCAGAAAGTGAAAACCGTGACCTTTCGTGACCTGACCTGACCTTGACCCGTACTTAGTATGACCCTTATACGCAAATGGTACCTTCACTAGGCCTTTGAGGTCATTTGTGGTGGGTTTCGAGCACCAGCTATCGATTCTGCTGTCCGTAAGCCTAATCATGCAAAACCCCTGAATTTGACCTTTGACCTGACCTTGACCCGAAAGTTGACCTCGATCTTAAAATCTTAAGAGTGCTTTGGGAAGGTCTCGAACAGACCTTTCGAACGCCGCCTCGCGGGGCTCGATCAGAGGCTCGATACGACCATTGGTTCTCGAGATAACAGGGGGGGGGGGGTCGGATCCGACCCCCCCAGGCTGTCGTGGGTACGGAAATAGCCCAGGCGGTGCCGGGTTAATTCTCAATTCGGTAATTGTATGTTATCCATGACAGAAAAACGACAATGTATTCAAATACACAATTAAAAAACAACAACATTGTTTAATTGTGTATTTGAATACATTGTCGTTTTATATATATATCAATTCGGTAAGTTGAGTGCGGTACGTTAGTTTAAATAAACCCAGATAAAGAAGAATTGACTTCGAAAAATACATATTATTTAGGTTATACCATATACATACATATACAAAACTAAGAGCCACTGCATTATCTTCGGTCAAGAGCTACTAGCCCAAGAGCCCAGGTGGAGTCTGTCGGGTCAGAGGCTGAGAAACCACCAACAGTCTGAACATCTCGGCGTCTTACTGGACAGCAGCCTGTCGGCCGCACCGCATGTCCGACACCGCACGGCAAGAGCGCGGGCTAGCCTGTACAGCCTTGCGCCTGCCGGCATGCTGGCATCTGGGCTCTGTCCAGCAGATAAATGTTTTCTCTGGAAGACTGTGGTTCAGCCAGCACTGACGTACGGCTGTTCGTCCGCTCCACTCAACTCAGCTGACATCGAAGAGTTGCACGCCACTCAGACAGCGACCCTCAAGACGGCCCTGGGGCTGCCTCGCCGCGCCCACCACTCAGCGCTCCTCGCTGCTGCCGGTATCGCCCCAGCACATGAGCTGATTCGGTCGGCATGCTTCCGGGCTGCAAGTGGTGCTCTGCGGTCCGAACACCGTCTCCAGCAGGCATTCCTCTCGGGCCTGACGAAGTTGGCCATGTGCCCCGACTTGCTTGGCGACTCTCTTCTTCTCCAACTGTCCCGCATGTGCGGAAACGACTTCTCTGCCGTGCTCGAGGCAGCTGCCGGACGGTCGTGCAGTCACAGGGTGACGCCATCGCGCGCCCCAGACGGACTGGCAGATAGCATCCGCTTCTTGATGAGGGACAACAGCCAAGCTTCGCGTCGCCTACTACGACTGCTGACATGCTACGTCCCACCGGGGGCCGTGGCCCCTGTGACCTAAGCTCCGTGCTGACACATGACGGTTTTGTCATTTCTGATGATTGTTTGTTATCAGCTGTCGGGAATTTGCCAATGTTTGGTGCAAAATAAATATGAATGAATGAATGAACATAGGCCGATGGAGGGACAACTGCTTACCAAAGTGTCACTCCACTTACTGCTCGAGCCCCAAAGGAAGAGGGTTGACGGTGCTGCAAGTTTTCAGATTTCTGAGAAATCGTGAATCACGAAGGTGAGGATTTCACTAAGTTACCTAGCCTCCCCCACATGTATCCCGATGTTTGAGTGTTTTACTGTTTTCGTTCAAAATAATAGCATTTCAATTTCCTCCCACAAATTTATCATGGAGAGGTCGCAGAATTAACCCCACCTTAGGTCACGGATGTCAAAATTCCGAGATATAGGTAAAAGGTGCTGGCACTGGTTCTCTCATGCAATAGCCTAACTTTCAAACTTCTAAGCTGCTGATTGTATAGGAATCACAAGGTTTTTAGAGGCATGGTCACTTCGCTTGATCTGGTGAACTGACCTCATGTGACCTGGGGTCAAAATTTCACACACGATGCGGAATCGATGTATCATAACTATACCCAATTTCGCGGCGCTGCGCAGCACGGTTTTCTTTACAAAAACAAATCTGACACGTGTGGCCATAAACGCCCCCCCCCCCTACCTGGGCGAAGGTTATCTTAGTTACCGCACCACCCACCACACCAGAACCGAGAAAGAATATTGATAATATTGGGATTTGGGACTGTCTGTCGGCCAGGCCGAGCGCAAAAGGCTGTTCCGCGATGTGTTTGAGTGGTAGTCGTACTTGCGATATACATATTCCCTGATGTTTCGGCTTCGGTGCCCGAAGTCAATAAACAACAACAGATAGGTGTTTGAAAAGATATCCGAAGAAAATGTAGGTACCTAACTAGTACCTACTGACCTTCTCTGGAGCCTACGTAGGTATTCAACATTACACACTGCAGTCTGCACAGTGCACACTGCGCAGTGCACCTAGCGACGTAACGGATGCAGTCAATCGTTCACTTCTTTTGAGATAAGGGACCGTTTATTCGTTCTTACATATTTTCTATGACGTTTATATAGTTAATAGTGTATACAGTTAATGCTGAATTATTAGCCACTGCAAAGCTTCTTTCACTGAACCCTCGCCGTCGGACCAATTGGTTTTCTACATATGTCCCGGCCGAGGGGGGGGGGGGGGGCAGCGGGCGCGGGCGGGCGATGGTTCATAATTTTAACTTCATATGGTGGTAGCATTTCATTTATTGCATAAACGAAGCAGCACGACACATATGCCTAGTGACTCCTGTGAATCGCTCATTCAGTTACGGTGAACTGACACACAACGGTCGGAAGGTGGCAATAGCAGTGGCACACATGATAACAGTTTCATGTAAGAAGAGATGACATGCAGTTCAAATATGACGAAGTTCTAGATGAGATTTGAATCGTGACACCGATTGTAGCCGATTGCATCATGTATCACCATGACAGTTCATTCGATTCATCTCTACATCCATGAATTGATCAATGGACAAGGCAATAAATCCGCATTTACGCGTTCGGATTCAACAATAACCGCTACCGGTATGCATGCGGCGACTTGACATGTTTTCTTACCGCCTTCTTCATCCAGGAAGGTAGGTCAGAAATGTCGTAATCATAGGTTTTGTCAGAATCGTCATCGTCTCCAGGGGTCTTTACTTCGATGATATCCTTGATTTCAGTCTCTTCCGCTGTTTGTTTTAGTTTGTGTTTCTTCCGTTTCTCTCCTTTTGCTTTTTTGGAAGCCATGCCTTTCAATGAATCGAATATCTCAATTTTTTCCTTTTCTTTGACGGTTTGTGGGCCCGCCGAGGCTGCGACGGACGCTCCGGTCTGGCCCGCCGGGTCCTCCGGCTGCTCATTGATCAGCACGGTCAGGTTGATTCCCATGTTGCCGTCCTGCAAGTCCCCGTCGGATGCCCTCTTTTGACCGCGACCTGTCACGGCACTCGGGTGACCAGTCTCCATCGAGTCCAGGTAGGCGGCCCGCTGAAGCTTGGGCTGTAGATTTCTTTTCGACTTGAAGGGAGGAGGACCCAGAATATTATCAACCATTTTCAGTGTATCTGATAGCTTGGTTGACAGGTCCCCACGTTCGGGCCGTTGCAGGCTTGCCGCTGGACTCGCTCCGCTAATACCACCGTTGCTGGGAACGACCTGTTTTTCGGAGATCCCGGCTGTCAAGGTGCGAGGATTTGAAGGCGCACCAGCAGGGTTATTGCCTGACTTCATATCGATGCTCCCAGCGAGTCGAGCTACTGATGGCTGCGGTGTGGCCGGACTTGCAGGCTTCACCGTGCGCATTGTGGGGTAAGCTTTAAACGGAGAATAGTTTGTACCAAATCCTGGTGGCCTTAACAGCTCAGGGAGATCAAGTCCGGATGGATCTTTAATTGCACTTCGGTGCCGAGAGGGGTTCTTGATGATCCTGCTTACAGACTCTGAAGTAATTTGTACGTTTTGTCTGCCAGGAATTATTTCGCCTTGTGGCGGTGGTGGTGGTGTCTGTTGTTGCTGCAAGGCTTTGACGTTTTCTGAAGGCATCTCTCGCTTCAGAGCTGAAGGGTCATCTAACAAGTCTGAGATTCCTGGCTGGTCACCCAGTTTTTCCTCCATCATCTGGACATGGGTCTTCACTGTTCCAGGTTCATCTCCCACGTTACTCGCAAACTGCGATCTAGCGTCCAGTTCCTCGAGAATTTTTGACGAGCCCTCCTTTTTCGGGATAGTCATGGCCGAGGCGTTCATGTGTGCATCTCCTGCGTGCTGGTATCCCGGCCGTGGCACGCCCGCTGACGGAACGCCGGAGCCCAGCCCACCAGCTGGATCCCGACGCACAGAAACGTCTTCCGCTATCTTGACATTCTCCTTCCCCTTTCCTGGCTGCGCCGGTCCGCTGCTGACACTGGTGGGACCTGACGTTAGCCCTCCACTAAATGAATCTGTTATATCACTTTGCATCCGCTGCCCCCGCTGCTGACTTTGAAGCTGGCTTCGTGGCTGATTTGAGATCTGTCCCGCGGAGGCCGCAGAAAGATCCTGCGGCCGGCCCTGCGTCTGATATTGACTGCTTTGAGAAGGGCTTTGCGGACTATTCTGCGTCGGATTTTGCGACTGACTCTGTGATTGAGACTGAGGTGGTTTATCTTGTATTTGCTGACCAGCTTGCTGGTCCTGAGGTGTGTTGTGTGCTCCGGCATTGCCTAATGCAATGCCCGTATTCACTTGATTTCCAATGCCGAGATTGCCCATGTGGTCATCAGCTGCAGTGATAGATCCACTGGGGACATACCCAGCTTCCTCTTGGCCATCATATGGAATCAATATTTTAACATTTGATTGCTCTTCAAGAACCTGCTCAGCTTTTGGCGATACTTTAATCCCGTCTTCATTATCCCCTTGACGACGTGGTTCTGAAGCCGAGTCGCGGCCGGCATTCGAGCCCACGGCAGGCTGTTGTTCTGAAGATTCGCCAGCGGCTGCTGCCTCATTGGGTGACTTAGGAGCTTGTCCCGGCGGCTGATTGCTAGGTATCTGCGGTATCTGAGCTGACATGTCTTCCTGTTGTTTATTTTGTGATTTTTCGTCGAAGTCGACTTGAACGCTCTCTTCACTTCGTATGCCGGGTCCAGGGGGTGGCGCCGGCGGCGGAGTCCTAACTGCGGTCTGGTCACTAAGGAACCCATCCACGGCCATCTGGTCAACATTTGGTGGACGGCCACCGTTCGCCGGCTCGGCTCCCCCAACAGACCCCGCGCCACCGGTCATTGCCTGTCCTCCAGCTGGGTTCCCCGATACCGGTTGAGCATTTGAGCTTGGACCATTTGGCGGACTGTTACCTTTGTGACCTATCTGTACGTTTTCTGTGAGTGATACGCCTGGGCTGCGCATATTGTCTCCAGACATTGGATCGCCTACTCCTGCAACCGTATTTTCATTAGACGTTGGACGACTAACCGCCACGTCTTCTGTCATAGTCATGCCGGGCCCGCCGCCGGCCGCCGGGCCGGCAGCAGGGTTACCCGGGGTTTGCTGAGGAGCAGGCATGCCGGGACTGGAGGCATCTGGTGGACCAACCGCAGCGGAAACGTCTCGTTTTTGGTCAACTTGCACATTCTCTTGTACTGATACACCTGGCCCATGTCCGTTATCTCCAGCTACAGATTCAAGCACAGACATGCCGTTGGGACCGGGTTTCGATTGAGGAGCCGCAGGAGATGCAGGGGCTGGGACGCTTTCCTTCTTATCAAACTCAACGTCTTCCACTAATGATACGCCGTGACCTGGGCCATAACTCCCAGATACTGTTTCGGCGTCGGAAATAACACCGGGGACCTGTGCATGTGCATCCTTATCAAGCTGCACATCTTCGGTCAATGATATGCCCGCAAAGTTTTTGGATACACCAGTATCATCGTCAGACAAATCAGTGATAGAAGCTTGATTTCCTACGCCACTTTGGGAGTTGACATCAGCATTTTGTTGGCTACCGCTGGCAGCCATCACATTCACTGCGCCCGGTTGTGGTATATCAAGATGAGAGGGCAAAACACTTTTAATTGATGTGCTTTTACGAATGCCGCTTGTTTCCTGGATATTGAAGTCCTCTTCTACTTTTGGGAAGTCTGGACCCTTGGCGTCCATTGGAAATGCCACCTTATCAACGGTTTGGAGCAGCGGTCCCGATCGGCCCGACAGCAGGCTCTGCGGTTTGTCCGGCATGGCACCCTCCTGAACAGACGTGAACGCGGCGCCAGACGACGGTTCGGGGGTGCGCTTCTTCAGCTGAGACATGGCCGACTGTTCCATCTGAGGTATTCTGGCGGACAGAGCAGACGCCGCACGTTCTGCTTCCTCAGCTTCATGAACCATGTCATAGCCACGCACCTTGCGTGCTCGAACGCGAGTCGGCCTGCGGCGTTTCATTATTGCCCGATGTTGTTTCTCGGGTGTACGTTTGACATGCCTTTTAACGTGCCTCCTTGCTATGCCTCTCTTGTTCTCCGAAAGCCTCATAGTCGAGCTGATTGTCTCCTGGGATGCCCCTTTGGACATAAGATTACCAGCGCGCCCCTCTGCTGGCGGAGTCCCGGGAACGCCTCCGGCCACGTGCACAGACGCCCTGTCCGGCGCGTGGAACTCGTCGTCAGAGTACTGGTTACGACTGGGAAGGGCCGGCTGGGCGGCCGAGTGGATCGGTGGATTTTCCTCAGAAGCTGCCGGGGAGCTGGGCGGAGGAATTGGAGGAACTCGTGGATATTGCAGAATGTCTTGGAGCAGCGTCAGTACCTGAAACGTATGGATGTTATTAGAAGTGATCGGTCATTAGAGGGTAAACTTGTGCTGCGTTACATTAACCTTGTTTTCACATTCTATTTCGTCAACATACGGGCTATGAGCTAAGCTCTTGCTCACATCTTTCCGACGCGTAATGGACGTGCCTGAGGAATTTAACTTGCAAACAATCAATGACTCTATTACCTACTAGCTGATGAGTGAGATTGGTTTATTTGCATGAGTAGTGTTAATGAAGGTACCTATTAACCCTCCCCTGTGTGAGACGTTTTCCAGCGTCTAACGTGTAGGAGGGGGGGGGGGGGGGGGTCGGTTGGCCCCCAGCCGTTCGGCCCCCGATCGAGCTAGAGCTTCACGAAAAAAAACGAGCGTGTTGCCCGTGGCGAGATGAAGCCGATGATAGCCAATTTTAAGGTACTAGGTCACTGGTTGACCTTCCAGGTCAAATCAATGACCCAAAAGTCGGGAAAATCGGGACCTGCTACAGGGTGATCGAAAAAAAAGTGTCACCCCTAATTTAAAAGCCATATAACTCGCGATTGGTTGGTCGTACGACTTTGCGCCAGGCAGCATTGGAAAGAGCATACAATTTCCTTTCGAATGAATGTAAATATGCATGGTTTATGCCGCAAACGAAGATGTAGCTATTCAAAAAGTATGTTAAGGACGCAATTTGGCGTGTTCAAAAGTTTGGTTGTGCAAATTTGTACTTTTGACAGAGTTTTTGATCTGACAGCTCACGTGACAGCTCACGTGAGCATCTTTATTAACTGTTCCATGGTTACCGCTGCATAAAATTGATAATCCGGTAGTGCAGGTTGTCGCAATGTTTCGCTAGTTATCGCCGAATTTGTGAATAATGAGGCCGCATGTTTGCAAGGAAGATCTGATAAGGTCTTCCTTGTCTAAGGTCAGCTGAGAAACGAGTCTAAGGTCAGCTGAGAAACAGTCTGCAGTGAACAACATACACTCCATGTGTAATGTGTAAGGTGTGTGTCATGTTGAATTACGATACGCATTGTTCTCGTTCAGCGGTGTCCGATCCGGTTCGGTGAATTTCGTTTCACGTGAAAGCCGCACATTGACTGGTTTTTGAGCCCATGGGGACATGATTTGGAATAGAAAACAATCATGAATACATTCAATTGAAAAGAAATTGCCTGCTCTTACCGATGCTGCCTGGCGCGAAGTCATCCGACCTACCAGTCGCGAGTTATGTAGATTTTAAGTTAGGGGTGACACTTTTTTTCGATCACCCTGTATAACTTCGGAAAAAGAAGCTGATATTGTTTTTTTTCGGGGTGCTGATCACGAATTTTATGTAATTTTTGATCAAAGGTGAGGTCTTCATCCATTTAGGTAGGCTAGGTCGGTTCAGGTCAGGTCAGGTCAATTAGTAGGCGTCCTGCCGGCTATCCATAGCTTGGTGAAAACAGAACCTCGCACAGAGCCGGGTATGAGTGATATGAGAAATAACTGAAATAACTTATAATTAACCGACAATGCATCTAAGCGATTCAATGATCAGCCGTTAACCCGCGCCCGGCTGGGGGTCCTGGATTTCCACGCCCTGCTGGGGGGGAGGGGGTGTTTGAACACCCCCCCCCCCTTCTAACTCGGCTCCTGGGCCACGTAGCGATACGCGGAAGGCGGCGTTCGAAAGAGCGTCAAAAATAATGACGAAATCACTTCGGTCAATTTTTTGGTCAGGTCAAAGGTCAGGTCACCAGAGGTCATTGAAGGCAAAATTTCGCCGATTTCCAGGTCGAATGTCGAAAATTTCCAAGAAGCCAACGCATAACTCGGGAACCAATAGAGCTACAGCGCCGCGGAAAAGCGCATTCGATAGCCCTATTAACGCCCTTTCTGAGTAATTCTCTCAGATTTGACCTAACGTCAACGGTTTTGCCTGCAGGGGGCAAAAACTGCAAAAATAGCCGATTTTTTTCGGAAACAGTTTTTCTGCAATAACTTTTGACCCAAGCCTTGTACGAGCTTATTTTTACCGGCATCGTGTTCCTCTCGTCAAGACGCATCGAATGAACTATAACTTGACCTTGAAAGGTCAACTTGAAAATTTGACCTCAGGTCAAGGTCATGACCTGACCGGAAAGGGTCATGTTGCATATCAGTCGATCCGTATCGTCGAGCTGAACACATCTAAGGCGTTTTCATCGCTCTAGCATGCCTCTATCAAAAGTTATTTGCGAAAAACTGTTAGATACCATTCGTGACCTAAGATGACCTCAGGGCATAAACAGGGGTCACGGACACCATTTTCATGTTCAGTGTGTCTAAACCACTTGTAATTCAGTGTTTGGGAGTGTTTATAATGTCTTTCGTCCAAAGGAGGCGCATTTCAATTTTCTCCCATTGACTTATAATGGGGAGGTCGCAAAATTGACCTGACCTTAGGTCATCGATATCAAAATTCTGAGATATACATTTTGTACATACTATTTCTCTTAGCCATCGCTGAAAGTTTCAAAGCGATCGGTCACTCGGTGTAGCTATGACAGACATTGAAACTTTTTATGAGGTGAGGTCACTTCAAGTGACCTGGTGACCTGACCTTGAATGACCTTGGTCTGAAATTTTCACAACATGAGTAGAATTGATGTATGATTAGGTGTACCAAAAACGGCGGCGCAACACCCCCCCCCCCCCCCCAGCAGGGCGCGGGTTAATCAACTGATTGAGATTATTAATCCGAAACTACCAGGTATCAGTTTGCAAAATACTAGTGGTAGTCTGCAAAACCTACTCTGTGGAAATTTAAAGACAATTTACGCTCGAAGTTTTCAGAACCGACAGTTATGCCAACAATGTGAGCAATTAAGGTTAATAGGTATGTCATAATGACTGACTTTTCGAGACGATTCGAAGACAGAAAAACTACTAATTCGCCGAACTTCAATCATGAAAATCAAGGCCGTAGAAGTACGCGTTTTCGGTCTTAGCATCAGCTCATTCTGTTGGTTAGTTTATGAATTGTAATCCTTAGGTGTTGTTTTTATGAATTGTACCTATTAGATTAAAATGAGTGGCGACAAAGGTGGCGACATCGAACGACAGCTTTGAAAGGAGCGCAACAAACAAGAAAAAGTCTAATGCTGAAAAACGTAAAGAAGCTGAAAAACTAACTATTATAAGAAAAGGTGAACCAAAATAATGATGGCGGAAAAATACGAGAACTTTGATAATCATTACGCACCTACATTATCACCACACATGAAAATGAGACACCGGATTGCACTGTTTTTCTAGGTGTTCGGACGTGCGTAGGGGAGAGCGGGGTCAAGGACAATTGAAACAGTGTGTTTACAATTCATAAACTAACCAACAGAATGAGCTGATATTAAAGGGACCCTCCCACCTTAACATTAGATTTGAGTTGAGATAGCCAAAATGGGGTCCCTGGCTCACAATTACCGGTTTCGGCACTTACAACATCGAGAAATGCCTTAAATCGGAAATATTGAATTTCAAAATTGCAGCATTTTGATTCAGAGGGGCTAATGCATAGGAATACCCCTCTGAATGTGTGACGTCAGCGCAGATATCTAACGATTTTTAAATGTTTGACTAAAACGTTTTGTAGCACGCGGTGGTATATGCTGCTTAGCGCGCAACAAATGCCGCACTTTCAAATAAAGTCGCTAGGAACAGCGGAGATCCCAAAAAGTAAACACAAGTAAAAGTCTAATATCTTGAAAACCGGTGAATATTTTTCGATGAAATTTGGTAGATATTCGTTTTTGCTCTTTCTGAACCGAACGACATCACTTTCATGCCAATTCATTAACTTTTTTGAAGGTGGGAGGGTCCCTTTAAGACCGAAAATGCGTACTTCTACATATAGGTACTGCCTTTCCGAACGGCGTTTGAAGCGAAAGTGCTGGGAATGTCGATGACCAGTGGCGTATCCAGGGGGGCGGGCAAAATGGGCATTTGCCCCCCCCCCCCAAACGGCATGATTTTAACATTACGCCTATGGACGATGCATGGAAAGAATCGATAAATTTTTATGGTTTGCCCCCCCCCCCCCCAAAAAAAAAACTCTGAGCTGGATCCGCCTCTGTCGAAGACTGTGCACAGTAATGCGATTTTAAGAGTAATTTGTAAATTTGTATCCCTATAGATTTTATTAGCTCATTTCCACAGCATAATTTAGCTTTGTGTAAGCGTTGGCAGGCTTGTTGTCCATAAATTGAAAGCATTAGGTGCTGTCGATGCAATATCTTTTTGCGTTAGTTTCGTCTAAAAGATGTCACGGCGCGACGGGGACAATTGTAACGTTCTTGCAGGGGTCAAATGCAACAGGTTATAGGTCAAAGGTCAAGGTCATCCAATTTTCAAGGTAGGTGTAAAATTTGTAGAATTAAGAGAACTGTATGTTCTGTCGCAATCGGCAGCTTTTTACGCGATTTATTTGCGAAAAACTGAGGGAGAAGAGTTCCATCCAACCCCCGTATAAGTGCGCGGGTAAAAGTATGTTGTTGTTTTTTTTCCTGAGAAGAACCGTATCTACCATGTCTGAGGAATTGAACATGTGTTACACGTACGTCAAATCATTTTTTTTAAAGATTGCATCTTTGTAACCCGTAAGTAACATGTTACGATTGTCTGCGGGTGGTGTTACAGTATCCGGGGTGAATTGTTGAATTGTAATTGAATTGTAACAGCTGAACTGACTTTTTTCGGACTACAATTTTGACCCAAAAAAGATGTTTTTTTTTAAGTGTTTCAACTGCGTTTAAATGGCAGAACATCTTGGTTTTGAACATAAAGAAAGATCATGATAGCTGCAAACATGTTTGTACCGGATGATAAAATACACAAACTGTTACAATGAACCCCAGTCTCCCCTACTCACCGGATGCACGCTGGTCTCCGGAGATGGCGGGGTGTCGGGCCGACCATGGACCGGCGTGCCTAGCACTGCGATGTTCCTGTTTAGCTGGTAATACTGCGGCGAGTCCTGGCAGCGCACATTGAACCACCAGTCGCACGCAAAGTAGCGCTGATTGAAGACGGTGCCGTTAGGACACAGAAAACCATCCTTTTGGTCGTTGTGGCAAACCCAGAAGGCCTGCAAAATAGATTACCATTAATGTTGCGAGTTCCTGTGGTTATTTATCCTGTTACTCAGGGACAATGCAACTTTTAACGGCCAAAACACAAAGTGAGCTTTGAACATGCTAGTTATGTAGGTACTTGCATTATGACCACCTATTCTTATCTGTCTTTTTATGAGGGCACCCAACGGCCAATATGGCACGCTCGTAAGCACTCCCCGACAGGCCGGAGGGAACACTTTGTTTGGTTTTATGCTACGTTTTATTTGGTTTTATGCTCGGTTTTGTCTACCATATACGGCCCACCCTCGCACTCTTATGTATGTATGTATGTATGTATTACAATCATGGACAATCCACACGGGGCGTGGCGATTACAGTCCAGAGTCTGAGACGGGTTGGAACAAAAACATGCAGGGGCAGTAGAACACAGGCATAACGATTTAATCACTGGACACTCACTCTCTATATACATACGGACAATTCAAGTCAGCGCGCCACACACGGCTGCGGGTACCCCCTCCCCCTGACATGAGTCAGCGTCGGGCGGTCGCGATCGCCGGACAGACTGCAGCCTTGGCCGCACGGGCGAATTGGGCGGGGCGCTGTTCGATGGCACCGGGAGACAGACTGTTGAGTAGCGCCGCGGCCCGGTCTCATGACCTCGCTTGACCTTTTTACAACTTTTAAGTTTTCTAGGGTCGTTTCGAATCTTTTTAGCACCCATTTGAACACAAGAAAGCTAGTTTTAGTGTTTATGTAACATGTTGCGACGCCGTCAATGGTGGCAAACACAAACTATGGATAGCCGGCGAGACCCCAACTACTGGTTGACCTGACCTGACTCGACATACCCGAAATGCACGAATATTGCATTCATGATCTTTGGGCAAAACAAATACAAATTAGAAATAAGAACTCTGAATTACTCTGAATGCAACTCATTTATATAGTGCTTTATTTCATTATGAATATGCATATTGTAGCTTGTGTTTGATATGTCTCTATATTAATTTTACTTTAAAGGGACCATCCCACCTTCAAAAAAGTTAATGAATTGGCATGAAAGTAATGTCGCTCGGTTCAGAAAGAGCGAAAACGAATATCTACCAAATTCCATCGAAAAATATTCACCGGTTTTCAAGATATTATACTTTAACTTTTGTTTACTTTTTGGGATCTCCGCTGTTCCTAGAGACTTTATTTGAAATTGCGGCACTTGTTGCGCGCAAAGCGGCATATACCACCGCGTGCTACCAAACGTTTTAGTAAAAGATTTAAAATCGTTAGATCTGCACTGACGTCACAAATTCTAAGAGGGCATTCCAATGCATCAGCCCCTTAGAATCCGAAAACTGCAAGTTTGCAATTCCATGTCTCCGAATTAAAGCATTTTTCGATGTTGTGAGTGCTCCAACCGGTATTTTCAGGCCATGGCCACCAATTTGGCTATCTCAACTCAAAACTAATGTTAAGGTGGGATGGTCACCTTAAGGTAAATGACGAGCGTAACTATAAGGTTACTGACATAGTGTTTTAAAAACACACGGATGATTAAAGTGTGAGTACAGAATACAGATATCCCTACATCGTAACAATGCTATTGAAATTGTTATGCCTGCCTGTTATTGAAAATACAATGAAAATGATTTAGACGCTAAATATCCAAGTATCATAAAAAATAATGGAGATTGAATGCAAACACCAAAGCAGAGGTTGGGTACTTCTTCGCTCCAAAGTAGGACACGAGTCCGGAAACTAGGTCACCATTATTTAAACGGGCTTCTAAGTTTTTTTTTATCTTAGCTCGAATGTTTGAATGGACCGATTGACAGAGCCGGGCCCACACTAAGCACAGCTTGTTGCGTAGACCCCGACGCCTACCGTCCGATCGCGCAATTTCGGGTAACGGGAGAATTTAGATGCCAAAGTTTAACGTGCTCCTCAAAGCCGGACGGCGGACACGGCCTGTCCCACTCAACTGACTTCAACTGGCTGTGGTTGCTCCCACCAACCGCAGACCATCCCCATCAGGGGTCTCAAATATCGAGCGCCGGAGCGCAGGGTTGTGCTCGACTCAAAAAAAATTGCCGACTCGAGTCACCACTAAACTTCAGAAAGCCCTGACTCAACTCTGACTCAAACAAGGAGCTGATTTTTTTCCTTGACTCGACTCATGACTCAAGTGGCTCAATGAAAATATGAGTTGACTCAAACTTGACTCACATTTTTGTTGAGTATCAAGTGTGTTGACTCAAAATTGACTCAGACAAAAAAGTTGTTGAGCGGGGGGGGGGGGGGGTGACAAAAATCCGGCAGCAGCTCCAGGCCTAAGTTGTTAAGCGGGGGGTGAATGAAAAGCTTATAGGTATATATTGTTTCTAGAAAGATGAGTCAGCGAACTCATGTTTCTAAATGTTTTTGACTCAACTCAATGTCAAAAGTTATTTTACTGACTCGCCTCTGACTCAACTCAACACCTTAATATTTTTGTCTGACTCAACTCTGACTCAATTCAACAGCTCAACATTTTATCCGACTCGACTCAAACCTGACTCATTTGAGTCAGAGTTGAGTCAAATCTCTGACTCGACTCATGAGTCAAGCACAACCCTGCCGGAGCGACTCGAACCCGGGCTCTCACTATCGGGAGTCCGGTGCTCTAACAACCGAGCTACGGACAGGCTGGACATTGGCCAGACTAAGTAAGTATCTACTATGCACTGATTGTAATTAAAAACGGACATGAGTTAAAATTTAGCCATCATTTCACATACCAACAGACTTTTCCATTTAGATGATGTTTGGAGAGACAGCAGTGACAAGAATTAATTACGTCGAGAAACCACTCACCTGACACCTGGCTTCGTCCGATGTGTCAGCGTAGAAGCCGTCTGCCTCCTGGCCGCCGCAGTCAAAACTGGACTGAGGAAGGACGTTCAAGGTCGGGTAATCGACTCCAGCCTGGCCGGGGATTGCCTCTGGCAGCCACTGCTGGGAGTGGGCGCGCTGCTGTAGCTGTTCGCTGGAGACGGGCCCGCCCGGGGCTGTGGCAGCTCCCGCAGCCTGGCCGCCCCGGTCCGGTCCGTCTGCAACCTCAGCCGTCAGACTGATGGAGTCTCGCGGACGGGCATCACCGGCCCCGGCTCCTTGTCTGGTCATCATCGGTCGGCTGAGCTGTCTGGGTGACTTTGCAGGGTCACCTAACAAACGGCCTGATTGCCTGGCCACAGCCCGAGCCCTTGGTTGATCTGGTCTGGTCTGAAACGCACTCTGACCGTGTGATGACGGGAGTGCAGATCCAGGGTCAGTATCCACCTCAATGGAGATATCTTCACGGCCAACCTGGCCCGGTTGGCCGGTCTGTTTGCCTCCGTTATCGAGCTGCTGTCCAGAGCCGAAGGAAGTCTGTCCACTGGGCACTTGGGCATCGTTCCGAGGGCCTCCCACCTTCCCTGGCACCTGTTCGCCGCTCGTTTCGAATCCCAGCACGGTTTCGACTGGTGGATTGGGAGGTCGGGCAGGACTCGGTTTCACCTGGTTATCAACAGATGTGTCCGCGCTGCTCACGTCGATGACCATGTGCTTGCTGATGTCCCCCTGGCTGTTGGCCGACCACCCCCCTGGACCGGGTCCGCGCTCCGACCACACGTGTGGCGCGCCGCCGCCGCGCGCTCCCAGACCGCTCAAAGGTCCGAGATCACTGGCCGCGTCTCTGCTTTCACGTAGGTCAAAGGTCTCACTAGAACTGTAGCTGTTATGAACGTCTTCTGAAGAACGCTGCACATTGTGCGCATCGCTACTTCCACCTGTGAGCATCAGCAGGAGTACTCCTGAAAAAGAACGAGTGAAAATGTTGGTAAAGCTGGTTGACAGACGCCTTAATATGTCATTGTAACGTGCTAACGTTATGGATTTATGATAAATGATCATGTCACATTGCATGCATTATCCTCACAAAACTTAATTCTAGTTGACATTAAGTTGAGAAGCTCTCTGTTTTACATAAATGGCTGGATGAATTATCACTTCTTCAGTATTATAGCCGAACAGTAAAATCGGTTTCGGTAGCAGAAAAAAATGACAAGATGGTGCTAATTTAATATTCCACATTATAGGTACAGTAACAATTATCATGTCGTTCGAAAGCTTACCTGCAAAACCTAAGCCGCAACGCTCTTTCATTCCGATCTGAAAGACAAGACATGGAATGAAATTTGATCGATTTAAATTACACTAAAATACGATCGATGCAGACGATGCATATAGTTTAGGCTTTACTTTGATTCTTTCGTCGAGAAAAATAAGAATATCATTGATTCATAGACTGGGAATAATCCTAATTGGATAAGAAAACAAAACAATGTGTGGTGCGCCTATTGAGCGAGGATCCACCTTCACTATTTACCTATAGTCACCGTGCCTCCACCGAGAAATCCTTTCAGTCATTTGACCCCATTTGACCCTGTTGGCCAGTTTGCGTGCTTTTGCGAGCAGGAGAATCGGTTACGTAGCCCTAATCGATGCTTAAACTTATATGTGATTTAGCTGATTATAACTTATAAGTTTTAATCCTAAGACTCAAACTGATACGTTAACGTACCTAATTTTAGCGAAAGCACCGACTGGTAATTACCTAAGTGCATTTAGGTAAATAATTAAGCTAGGTACCTGCAAGTGCACAGTGAAGATACCTTGGTAGTTATTCATTTTCAAAAGAAAACGCGATACATACCGTGGTATTTGTCCGTAATCCACATTTTGGGAACGATCAGCTTCGCACACGGCCAATGACATTCAAGTCCTAGGGCAAATTTCATTTAAATAATATAAGAAACTGCTTGCTTCGAGATATCTTCAAAAATGCTCCCAATTAAACGTCTTACTTCACGTGCTTTACATGAAATAAAGTCTAATGTAATTTAGCTAGTTATCATTGCAATATTTATATACACTTATTTAGGATGAAACATTATTTATAATCGTATTCGATCACGAATCTTCGATAGTTTTCGTCGTGCTAGTCTTTCGTAAAAGCAGCATGCTTTGGAAATATCAGGCGCCACCGAAAATTTTTCTTTCTGCTTTACATTTGATTACATGCATTTCTTTTTCTCACTGCTCGTGCCCATTGCGCGAACGCACTTCTAAGCACTTAATGCGTGTTAATGACCCTCAATATGGTGTAGGCACGTAGGCACAATATATGAATTTGATTATTTAATTTTCTACGGCTACATGTCCCTGGGAAACAATCGTGTGTTTTTTTACTACCATTCGTTTATTGTCGTATCTGTATTTCGGCTTTGGCATAGCTTCGGTGCCGTAAAGCCTACCGAAACAAAAAGTTTTCTTGTAGCTTGTTACAACACGGATAAGAATGTCTAAAATTTCAAAAAATTTCGAAACGAAAACAATAATAAAATAGCAGCCGGAAAGATCATTTAAAAGAGGTAGATAACAGCTATTTTCACGACGGGTTATCTGGCGAATGCACCTTAACTTGACGAAATCTGCACCAAATTTATTTTACAACAAATACTGGGTACTGATCACTTAGTTTTGATCGCAGATGATGTCTTTAACCCTCGCCGGCTGAGAGGTGTGCCCCCACTAGTTTTTTTTTCGCGATAGCTCCGAACAAGCCGGCGATAGAGAGTTGAAACTTGGCACACCTGACCTTTGATTCAAGCCGGATCTTTTGACACCAACTGCATTTTCGGGTCAGGTCAGGTCACTGACCTATGACGTCATAAGTGAACCTCTGCACGGTCTTCAGATGTCGCAACTTCGCAACGCCCTCACTGCCAAAGGAGCTTTCACATGGAAATGAAACTTGCAGGACCTATATAGTATCCATTACGAGTCTCACAACTTGTATATCTCGGATTTTTCCTAAAGGTCATATGAGGTCAGGTCATTTTCGTGACCTCACCATTATAAGTCAATGGGGAAAAATGAAAACTGTTATTCTGGCGCCGGGAACGATCTCCAACTATCTCAAGCACACAGAATCGTGATTTGATGCACTCCTTGCAAGATTAGATGCGTCACTTTTGCAATTTTGACCTTGCGTGACGTCATTTATGACGTCATCAAGGTCATATTAGTTTTTCGTCAATAACTCCCGATCTAATTGAGCTAGCGAGTCGGGAAAGCCACCAATGGACTCAGGAAGACCTGCCAAATCGAATGATATGCAACATGACCTCCTTCGACCATTTTCGTGATCTGGGGGCGCTGACCTGACCGTGACCCAAGGTGAACACCCTAAGCTGACCTCACCCAAACAAAAAATATAGCATTCGACGCGCCTAAGCGAGGCAAACACGATGCTGCCTAAATCGCTGATATGCGGCCGTTTTTTTTTGCAAAGTTATTCAGCAAAAACGGAACCGTTCGTTGTGGCAACTGACCTGACTTCAGAGGTCACCGGTTGACCTAGGACCTTAAAATCGGGTACCAATATCTGCGTCTCGTAACGGCGCACACGTTCGTTTTCTTCCGCGACGCGCTAGCTCCACCAGGGGCGAAACGGCGAGGGGGATCGTACCCCCACCCCCTGGGCCGGCGCGTATGTAGAAAACCAATAGGTCCGTCGATGGTTAAAGGAAATATATCACCTTCAACCCGCGCCCTGGTGGGGTCTGTTTATAACGCGACCTGGTGGGGGGGGGGGCTGTTTTTGCCCCCCCCTCGTATCTCCGAAACTACTGGACGAATCCGCAAAATTCAAACGTTCGAAAGGCCTGTCAAATTTGTCGCAGGAAACCAAATTTCATTGACCTCGGGGTCACCGATGACGTCACAGGTCAGGTCAAAGATGAAATGTTTCACCGTTCACGGGTCTTCAAGGGAATGCGCTATAACACCGAGGAAAACGCATTTTGTCGAGAATCAGCGATAGGGCGTCAGTTGCCTAGTAGATATGTTGCTATTAGAGGTCACTGACAACACCAGGTCACGTCACAGGTCAGGTCACCAAGGGTCACAGGTCAGGTCACATGAGCCCAACTTTACTAAGGTTGTGTGATGCATGTTTTATGGCCAATTTTTCATTTCCAACTCAATGGTGTTGGTTATAAGACTATCAGGTACGGCTTAGGTCACTTTCTGGTGCAGTTCAGGTCAAGGTCAGGTCAAGGTCAGGCCAAAAAAGGTCAAATTTTAAAATTGATAGTTTTGCATAAAATGGGTATTGATTCGATGCAGCTCGTCACGGGGAGTCTAATGGTGGTCTTGGTTTTGCGCTACGGGGTCTAGAATTGCTAAAAATTGAGTTTGAAAATTTGACGTCATCAATTTTGAACAGTTTTTTCGCTATAACTTCCCCAAAAAAAGAGGTATCAATCTCAAATTTGGTATGTGGATGGAAGGCGGTAAGGACTATCATATATATTCCGGTTTTTGCGAAATTCAAAAAACTTTTTGGATTTTTCGATCATTATATCCAAAAAAAATAATATTTTTTGATTTTTGGGGTCAAAATCCAAAACTTTCAAAAATCCGAGATAGCAGTTTTGTAGCCCTGTCAATTCTACAGCTTTTATGTTTTAATCATTTTTCTGTATTTGCAAAGCTATAGGCCTGACAGCTCTTCCCGCGAAACCCTTTTTTGGGTCGAAATCGGCAGAACATGACGTCACTCTGACGTCATTTACGGCCAACCTATCATAGCCTTTGGAAAATTTTTGGTCACCATATGTAAAATTGATGTCCGGGAGGGTACTGAAAGTTTGGTGACGATCGGCGCAGCGGTTCTGGAGATATATCGAAAAGTCTGGAGGGGGGGGGGGGGCAAAAAATAGCCCCCCCCACCAGGTCGCGGGTTAACGAGGGGCTATGAATTGGAATAGAAGTTTTGTAGCTTGAGCTGAGACTAGCATTATGCTAGCATAAATCAGGAGCTTGTACGCCTCAGCGATCATCCTAGAAGCTATTCTATTTCTCGTTCCCAAAAGAGTATGTACGTACCTTGTTGAGGAATACGGTCCTTGTAGAGGAATGCAGCCACGTCATCGTCAGCCAATGCAGCATGCGTAGGTTTGAAGTTTGAACTACGCGATATGATTGGTCAACGTGTACTTAACTTTCGCGTCAAACATTATTTTATATAGAATATGGTTCTTCCTATATTAAAATAAAGAAAAAATATTTTTAATAAAAAATGTTTTATCTTATTTTCTAATCATTTTGAGCATAAAAATCATAAATCCATTGCAAAAAAAACTAATTTAAGGTAGGTGGTAGGCCTATTCCCTTTAATGTACTTAGGCCAGGTCGGGTTAGGTCAGGTCAGGCCAATTAAATAAAAGGCGTCCTCCCGGCTATCCAAAGCAGGTGTCAACTACCACTGGCGGCATCGTAACATGTTATGAAGCCCGAAGGCACTAAAGCTAATTCGTAAATGTTCAAATGGATGTTCGAGTGGGAGGGAGTCCGTTCGGCCGCCCTTATATGTAGGGTAAGGTTGTCTATTAGCGACCCTTTCCTATTTCCCAACCACCCCCTGCAGAAAAACTGGTAGGAGAAATCGGGGAGGAAACAATGTCAAAAGGAGTGCCATACATTGCTTAGCAATTTCAATTCTTTTCCGTTTGTCGATGCCTTTGTTGAGACGTTTTAGGTGAATTTAAATAAAAATTGCCATCTTCTTATCCGAAACGTGTGTATTTGTGCTATGTCTGATGAGAAGCGATGCACGTTAAGATGATGCACTTTTTTATTCTGAATCGACAATTATTTTTCAACTGATTGCAGCCTTCCCGTAGCGAATCGCCTGACTGTGCACTGCATGGTGGTTAAAAATGTGTCGCAGCCCATATTTCCTATTTGCACCCGACATGGTCGCAACTCGCAAATAGCTCAAGAAGGGAAATGAATGGGAAAAGAGAGAAGGGAAAATGAGGGGTTGCTGAAGCTTGCGATGAGTGGCGGGTGATAACATTGTCATGGCAGACTGCAGGGGTGCCGAATCCAGCGCGGGCCTCGAATACAGTACGGGATAACCTAAAAGAAAATGGTCTTTCGCCTTATTTTCGTCTTTGATGCATTACGTGATCAGATTCTTTACATTAACGTGCTGGCTAAATGTTCCTGTTCTAGTGATAAGTGCTTTGCGTATACGTTCAATTTAAGTATCTTAATTCATGTTTTCGAGCGTCACATTTTTCGCCATTTTTACTATGAGGAAACCCATAGACCTATTCACGACCCTCCGCGGGCGCTAATCGGGACGGGTTAGGTACCTATAAGCGTTTTTTTTTGGCAGTGGTTTGCCAAAAGCTCACTACAAATAAATTTGTGGATATTAGGGCAGAAAACGAATTGATTCTGATAGGAAAATGAACAATGTCTCCGAAAATCAATCCAGTAATACCATGGTACCATAAAGCGTGATCAGTGACGGTTCAAATTAAGGTGGTCGCCAATTAGGCATCTCACCCTAGGTGCGAGTGAGAAAGTGTTTTATCAACCAGTAGCCTCAAAGGTCAGGTCAGTCGTCCAACATTTGGGCTTCGTTGTATGGCGAAAACTTGATTTATTCTGGTCGTTCTCGGTGTAATACGTATTCATTCAGAGCCACACTAGGTAGCCTATTAGAACCGAAATTGGCCGCTCTTTCCAGCAAAGGGTCTCTCATTGTAGGACATATGGTTTTGAAGACATAAGCAATATTAGTTAGGGGGCTCACTTTTTTGGAACACCCCATCTCGGATTTTTCGTAAATGTGATGTGTGATGTGACCTGACCTGATATAAATGGGTCAGGTCAGATTTGTGACCCCTCCATTATAGGTGCTGCAATAGGTACAAATGTCACCTGCTTTGAAAAAGAACCGTGTCAAAAAAAAAACTATTCACATAAACATGACCATTCTACCCTTATGCAATGGTCAAGATGCAGCTGTCAAAAGGTCATGCTAGGGTGGTCTATGTGCTAGGTTGTACAAGGTCAAAAGCTCTTTTCAAAATTAACTTTTGGCGGTACTGCACAATAGAGCGATGGAAGCATCTGGCTGTATACACTTACAGGTCCTCAATACGATGATGATGATGATGATGATGAATTGGGGTTTTTGGGCGCCTGG